ATTTAACAAAATTAATAACGTTGAAGAATAAACTGCTTTTGTTTTTGATAATATAAAAAAATGTTAATAAGAAAAGTTGTTCATAACGGAAAGTTATGTTATAATTACGATTTGTGAATAAAGCGGCTTACTTTGGTATAAACAGAAATGGAAAATATTATATTTTTAATAATTAATATTAAGTAATTCTTGATAAAAAAAATTCGCATATTAATATAAATAGAATTTTAATTGTGAATATACATAATAATGAGAAAATATAAAAAATATGTACGATATACTTATTTTGTCCAAAAAATGTGTAAAGAATTATGTACAAAAGGACGATTTGAGACTAAATTTTTTTTATGAGAAATAGGTATTCAGTTCACTTCACTTGAAAAAATAGTTGTAGGTACTTTAATACCTCCAATATAAACAGAAATTCTGTGGAACAGTGTAGTTTAATAAATATGTAAATAAATGAAAGTAATAAAGAAATAAATAGAATAGGTACAGTAGAACAGGAAAAAATTTAAAAAATCATAAAATAAAATTATTTCTTTTTATTAATTTGAGCTTCTATAATATATTCTGGATCCATACATCTTTTTCCCTGTGGAATATTTTTGTATATTATTTCTGGTAGTATACAATTTTTATAAAATTGTTCCAAATTTGTTGCCATTGATTTTTTCCATAATTCTTCATCTTTCTTAATTTGTTCTACATAGAGCGGGTTGTTTTCACCACTATAGGTATATTACGAAATAACATATAGACTTCTTCCGGTTATATTTAACTGTCTCTGTATCTGAAAGTAAGAAAAGAATTTTACCAGATAATATTTGTTATAAACATAGATAATTATACATTTTTACCTATTATGCTTTTGATTTACCATAATGATATATCTAGTCATATATAGGGTGCCACAATAGTGCGATAAAGTTTAGTATAACTGCCTGTAGTAGTGATACGAAAAAAGTTACTTGCTCGGATTCACATTTTATTATTATTTCCATTATTCATTATTTTCAGACCGAATTAAACGTTCAGAAAATCTTGTTTTTGGCCTGAAGATTTTGCCCTATACAACTATAACTGAAAATAATTATAAACTTTGTCACACTATTGGAACAGCCTGTATGTGCATTGCAACGACAATATGTCATATTTATATTACGGCTAAGTAAGCGGAAAGTCCATTGTCGCATATGTAATTTTTATTTTCAAATAATCAAATACAATATACCTACATATTTATTTTTAATATCTATTATTTACTTGAATTTAGTACTAAGTACAACTATGCCTAGCAAATTGTAATACTTACTCTGTTAATGTTTTTTCCTTCATATAAAAAATAGTAAACTCCACAAATAAAATATTTCGCAGCCACAACGCAACAATAAAAGATAACAGCTCAAAGATCCATACAAGAAATAATTACATTCGCACCTACTCTGGTCCGAATCCATATAAGTACTAAAATGTAGAAAATAATATGAAATAAAACTTTTAGTTGGCTGCAAATATTATAAATTTGTATAACCACTTGCCATCCTCCTTTTTTGTAAATATGTACATAATAATATGTAGAAGATAGAAAATAGAAATATTTTCAGAACAAAAAACCGGCGGCCGCAAATTGGAGTTTTTATTATTTTATTACCCTTCTCTTTTCATATGCAATTATGAGATAGCAAGAGAGTGGGATGGACGTATAGGCCGGACAACTCATTGTGCACGTGTGCGTGCACCTGGCATTTTCTCGTTTTTTTTTAGGTGTGTTTTGCCGGAATTTGAATGAATGAAATAATCGTACTATTTTTACTATAAACGTATTTCCTGTAGCGACATCTATATGAATATTGTAGTACTTTGTTAGATAAAACGGGACTTCAATTTCCGTTCTTAATAAGAGAAAACATTACTTACGTCATATTTTTTTGCTGCTGTTTCGAATTTAATAGGCCACACAAACCGTTCAGATAATGCATCCCCACCGATAATAAATCGCCTAAGCAAAGCAATAGAGAAAACACAAGGAGTGATAATGAGTTGGTGACCCTGAGATCCCAACGCACGTACGTCCCAGTGCACACATTACTTTTATCGGGATTTGAGAGTTAACTCCGGCGACAATAACGCCTAGGAGTCGCTGGCTGAGCTTTAATTTCCGGCGCCGTTTATTTTTAATCGGAGAATGGTCCGGGCAATGGTGCGATTGGATGTCAAACGGCAGTTTGTGGAAAATTCTATACCTACAAACATACAAACAAGAAGAAAATAAATTAAGAGCATTGGTACTTTTTAGCGGTATTAAAATCACAAAAAACGAGAGCAGAAAAGCCTGATTGAAAAGTCGATTTTACTGCGATGGCAGGACTGAACTAACTAAATAATAGATATTGGTTGCAGATTTTCGTGGTTATCCTTCTATTTCTATCGAAATTCGCCTCTCTGGTCCTAATTCGTCATAATCCTCTACGCGTAAACTTTCGCGTAAATAACTATTCATAATTTGCAGGATACATAAATTTTCAGCCACCAAAGAGTAAAATGTAGATCAACGATGTACACAGCAATACATATTTGATTAATATAAATGGAACCATGTCTGCCAGCTCATTTCAAAACGCTCGATCTCCGTAATTTGAAAAGTTAACTCATTTACTATTTGCTCGTGATATATTACATTTATATGATTAACGTAATTGATATAAATGAACATAGTCATATATCAACGAGAATTACAGCGCTGTTCGTTGATTTATCAAAGACCGACGCTGAAAATATTACACATCAGTAAATATGTAATGACCTAGCATACAGCTAATGAATTAAGTTATATAAAAAGTAGGTTATTTGATCGAAGTTTAAATGGACATTGAAAAAATTGAAGATGAGTACCTATGTCTTTTTAATTCATTTTTCTGGATTGTCTGAAAGTAACTAACGTTTTAAATCCAATTATTAATATTTAATAAGAAAAATGTTCTCAAATGTTATTCAGTAAGTAAGAGTAAATAAATAAATTGAAAATTAAGGGAAGTGAAAAACATTTCTGCACTCCTCTCTGAGGACTTATAACTTCGAGCAGTCAATTTTCAGGGAAGAATCACGTCCTTTTTTGCTCTTATTTATTTAAACTCTGTAGACACAAATTGTTGACATTGTGATTCTAATTTTTATGAAGTGATCAAAGAATGATGATTTTTATGAAGTGGACTACTATCACGAAAAAGTGTATTTTAAAAGACGTAAAGGCGACGTAAATTAAACGAATCCTACAGTTAACGACTGTTTCGTTATTTTCAAAGCGGCTAACTATTCATCTCAAGACAGAATATTTATCATCAATACAATTAAATATGCCCGAGCAGCGCTGAAACAGATAGACAGTATTAATCTCCAGGAATGGATGTCTTCTCATTAATACTACTTCCAACTTTTGTGGAGTTCTGAAACTTTATATCAGCTCAATAACTCTTACTACATCTTTCCAAAATAAACTCATCTATTCCGCACTCGGAGTTCTTAAAAAAGGATTGTGGAAGGGAACTGCGAAGAGATAATTAAGACCGCTCATCAATATCTAAATTCGGTGGTGTTTTTAATCTGATTTTGTGGATGCGGAATCTTCAGAGCGTCTTTTCTAGGAAATATATTTGTTCAGAGCAAAAAAACTTTAGATTAAGTGCAGCTCTTGGGACGTATTTTACCCTCAAAAATAATACGTTTTCTAAAGTGTCGAATTGCATTACAATCTTTATTTTCAGACACATCTATCGCATAAATAAACTCAATCGAATCTGTGAAACTATAAAGGATACATTTTCTTGTTTTAGAGTGTAGGTAACTTATTTTTTGTGACTTAAATGAAAAAGAAATTTAATAATTAATAAAATTAATTTACCAAATTAAAAACCATTTATATAATTTAAAAGTTATTTCCTGGGAAGCAATTTATTCTCTACTAAATTAAGTTTACTGGATATAGGCGTGTTTCACTGTCTGGATAAGAAGTAACATTTGGTTCAAGAGAAAAATAAGCGCTTTGCATTAAGTTAATTAAGACACTTCTCTTTTAGTTGTTTTAGTTTCCCCAGACCGGATATTGAAATTTTAACTTTTCCTTCATTTTAAGTAACTAGCAGACTGAAAGCAAATACTGCTACAAAAAAATCTCATTATCGTTCACAATTAAGCCACCGTTTGTAATGGCAAAGCTTTAAAGCAATTTTTATTGGTAAAAATGGGAATAATTTTTTTCTTCTCATATACGTACTATGTGAAAATAAGGATTTTCTCACGGTTTTGTCTGTATGGGCGTGACATTTTTTCAATCTAAAGATTAAATAACTTCTAGATATGAAAATTATATTACTGTATCTACGAAAAAATATCATTTTAATAAGGAATGACATTTTCTCGTAAATTGTACAACAAAAAATTTACGATATTGTGTCTTTCTTCCATGGATACGAATAGAAGTGAGTAATATCATTTCTCTCTCTTTCGCCCTAAAATATACGACATATTTTAGGGCGTAAAATATAAAATTAACATTTATTAAAAATGTAGATAAATTAATCATACGCAGAAAATTCATAACTAAAAATGTTTTCATAGTTTTATTTTATATGTTTTAATATATTCAAATATCATCAATCATCAAATAACGTCCCCATCCATCCACGTCCCATTTTACCGTTTCCTAAAAATAAAGCATGTGAACATCCTGTACCATGTAGCAGAAACATTTTAGAATACATTTACGAGAGAAATTGTTTGCTTACTTTGTCGAGAGCAATCACCCGTTTGTATCAAGCGCCCCCTCGTTTTCTTTGTGTGCATTATACATTGCTTAAATTATCATACTTGAAAAGCTTTTTGTCTACGGCCGGCGCTGCCAACACACGCTCCTCTGATGTCATAGGCAAAGAGCGTTCAAAAACTATAAACGGCAAATCTTTAAAGGTAGCATGTCCCATGAATTATTAATTCTGTTCCAGTCTGCCACTTGCTCCGCACCGGAGTGGCGGCCATCTTCGGGCCCCAGTCGCCCCACACGGCCAGCCACGTGCAGTCGATCTGCGACACAATGGAGATTCCGCACCTGGAGACTCGCTGGGACTACCGACTCCGCAGGGAGAGCTGTCTAGTCAACCTTTATCCCCATCCCACCACGCTCTCTAAGGTACACTGATACATTTATATCTCATACACCTACTTACATAATTTTCAAAAGTGTAGCGAAAATTATGAGAATGCTTTATTTGAAAGTGTAGAGAAACTCATGAGTATTGTATTCGAAAGTGTAGCGAAAATTATGAGAATGCTTTAGTCGAATGTGCAACGAAAATTATGAGTATTGTATTCGAAAGTGTAGCGAAAATGATCAGAATGCTTTATTTCAAAGTGTAGCGGAACTTATGAGTATTGTATACGAAAGTGTAGCGAAAATTATGAGAATGCTTTATTTGAATGTGCAGCGAAAATTATGAGTACTCTATTCGAAAGTGTAGCGAAAATGATCAGAATGTTTTATTTCAAAGTGTAGCGAAACCTATGAGTACTGTATTCAAAAGTGTACCGAAAATTATGAGAATGCTTTATTTGAAAGTGTAGCGAAACTTACGAGTATTGTATTCGAAAGTGTAGCGAAAATTATGGGAATGTTTTATTTGAAAATGTAGCGAAAATTGTGAATATTATACACGAAAGTATAGCAAAAATATGACTACATTAACACTGAAAACTATAATTTCAAAATAATATACTTAGCTGTTTTTAATATAATGTTAAATATATATTTTAAACTTAGAGCACTATCTATTCTCGTTCTCTTATATGTATATGTTTGTAACTAAGTATATACTAAGTAGGTACAAATTTTTACGCAAAGTATATACAGTTTCAAAATTATCTTATAGAAAGACGAGTATATCCTCGTTAGTTTTGTCATCTAAATCCAATTTTGCTCAGTGTAGGAAAATTGGTAATTCCTTTGTGATTACGGCTGGCAAAGCGCCTTTCTGTCACCGAATATAATGGATTCAGCTAGCTCCACGGAATATTCCTTGTAGGATCACTATCAAGGGCTGTTAGTGAGACGTAGAGATAATAAATTGGATCAAGTCTTATTTAGTTAAAGAGGAAGTCTCAGCTAGAGCTCCAAATGAGAATATTAAACCATTTTTCATTGTCGAGGAAGATGTAAAGTTGGATTAGAAAATTTTTACATTAGATTTTACGTAAATGATGGTATAGAAATGAATGTAACGAGGAGAAAACATCAATAAACGATTTTTTTCTAATGAGTGTCTATTTGAGTCTGTTTTTTAGATACAGAGCGCCAGAGGGGATTTTTTAACCGTATTGTTAAAAAAAACAATGTGTTGCATTAAAATATTTTGAGGCTATAATATGTCTCTATTGTTAGTTTCCGACAGACTGCAGCTACTAGGTAGAAACCTTTCAAATAAGATACTTTAATAAAGATAAAAGGTTTTGTCATATATCGTGGGACGATAATATTGCATATATGTATCTAATGCCAGTAATGTCGCTTCCGTTACGTCTTTTTGCCTAGTAATTCTCTTTCGCGTTGTAGTGCCACATCTTTGCAGTAAGAAGAAAATAGGACGCATCCTTTACTACAATGTCGGCTTTATGAAATGTATTACACTGGTAGCGGAGATGTGGCACACTAGTTCTTACAGGAATGCACAATTCGCGATATTAGATAGGACAAGCGACAGCACATCGCGTTACGAAGAACTCCTGCTTTATTACATTGTACGCAATTCTATAAAAGTTCTTAGAAAATAGCTTTCATCTGAAATTCTAATAGAAAACTGGGAACCCACTTTAATAGTAATCACAAGGTGTAACTTAAATAAGTTTAATAAGATTTAAGAAGTTCGTCCAGTTTCGAAGCAATTTCTAAGGAGCTTTTGTAAGAAATATTCATTGGCTTTTTCCTTCGTTAGCAGCTTTCAAAGGGAACATTTTTCGCTAAATCGACCACAGAAGAATTAGGTTGTCCCTTAAAAAATTGAGTTCAAAGGATATTCTTGTCCGAGTTAAGAGAAAATCCGTTTTAGGTGGAACGCTATCAAAAACATAATAAAAGGATCGGTATCGCCTTTTGAAGGAATGCTGTGCAGATAAACCACGAAAGAGAAACACATAAAAGTGAGAATAGACCGCGAAAGTGTTATATACAGAAATCTAATGTTCTCTCTTACTCAGATCATATAACCAAAGCCATATTATTACTTACGTTTATATTTAATATTATACTTTTGAATTTTGATAAATATTTCCTATAAAAGATAAATATTTTCATTTCGTTTATTGTTCTATAGATTTTACATACAATATAAACATTTTATATAAAATTTAATATGTGTTAATTATACGGCGACTTGTCTGGACACTTGCAAACCCAAAATGTATTATTGTCACCACTCTGAAGATATTAAAAAATATTCTGTTTGCAGATTTCGCACCTCGATTTATTTACACTTCAAATATCCTTTGTGTGTTTGTAAACATCACGTATATTATTTGATTGTTCAATATTTTAAGAGTAAATAAAGTAAAAGACCTAAAGCTCTGCTTAAATAATTCATTTTCTGCAAGTACCTTGTTTTTGTCGCAGCTATGAAACTGACATGAATTATTCTGTATTGTTTCACAAAGGAAGTTACTTCTTTGGCTCTTGCGAACGCTGCGATGTAGCCCCGGCTACGTTAAATGAAAGTTTCGAATTTTTTATGCATGTAAATAACGCAATAAAATAAATTGTTTTAGTTCCTCTCAGCGGAGTTTTATCCTCAAAGGAAATTAAAATGCTAGACCCTCAAGCCGCGTTGTGTACATTCTTTTGAAACCCTGCAATAAATATTAAAAAACTACAAAAAGGAGTTTGTGGAGTTGAGCTATGTTAGGGACAGCAATTATTTTGTTGCTATAATGTATTGTGTTGCAGGAAATTATGTACTGAGAATTGGGAGTAATTTTGGAAGAAAGGTTTTCACCAGATCTGAAATTAATTACAGTTTTTTGCAAAACAACTAGAACCACTTGAAAAAGTAGCTTTTATACAGGGTGTTTCGTTTGGAACGGGAGATTAAGCAATTTAGTAAAAAATACATTCGTAAGAAGTCACTCCTTGCTGAGATAAGGAAAGTTTCATTTGAAATTTTTCTTTCAATTTTTGCCGATTAGTCAAAAGATATTAAATTAAAAATATAGCAAAAAAGTTTTTACATCATAATATCTAATAAAAGTTACCATTTAAAATTTTGAGGACAATTTTGTAATTTTTTTGACCCCGCCTCCTACTAGTTTATAAAAATCTATTTACTTGTTATTCATTATATTTTAAAACCATTTTCCTTAAATTTTTATTTTATATTTATCCCTTACTGTTCTTAACAAGAAATTGAATGAAAAATTTCAGGTGAGGCAAAGCTATAGGTACATACTTCGGTATGGAGTGACATTTTACTAACGCATATTTTGCTTAATTGTTTTATTTTAATGTCCTTTATCTTCCGCTGCTTTGTGTTCCATTCTTAACGAGACGCAAAAGTTGCATAATCAAATTAGTTCTAGCTGAATGTTTATAGTCAAATATAACGCTTAGAGAAAAACACTCCTTGTGGTGGATTCTGTACATACGTTTTAAAGAATCTACCATTGTTCTACACATTTTTCATTTAATAATAATTGTAACAATGGACGTTATCGCTCGGGGCCATCGTAATTCCGCTTCTGCTTCGCTTAATTGTGGAACATTAAAGAGCTGTGCAAACAGAATAATTTACCTAAAAACACAAAACAAAGAAGCGAAATTTTCAGCGCAGAAACGCAGAGGTAAGCATAAACTAACCGAGGCATTTATTTAAATGTAATTTGGAAGTTCTCGTCGTATCTACCGAACGATCTAAATTTCTGGTAATGGTCGAATGATGCAGATGAAATGAGATAAAAATGGATTTGAATTGGTGAAAGTGTTCCTGAGAATTTGAAAAGGGACACTTTGGGATTTTATTTATGAAAAGAAAAACTATTTAATACGCACGTATATACTCATACATACGTTTGAAATTGATTAAAATCATCTCTCGAGTCGTTTTATTTCTGTTTTACTAAATAACAGTTTAAGTAAGTGACGTTTGTGGCCACCTAAATTGAATGTCAGACAGGAAAAACATTCAACCGATTTGCGAAATGCAGAATGTAATTTAAATCCAAATCCCCCTTTTCTGGTCGTCGAATGCTACCAATTGGCATTTTTCTTGTATTGCTTTTGTTCAATGGCCACCTAGATCGCAGACCTGTATACGACACATTTTATCTTTTATCTTAAAAGTTAATGTTCGCAGGACTAGTTGAGAACTTGGAACTTCTACAAGAGTGTATAATAGAAGGCTCTCAGTTTCATTTACTTTCTGTTTTTTTTTTTAATTTGTAACATTCAATATAATATACAACGAATTCATAGGATTCAAAAGTTGACCGACAAATTGTGTTGTGTACACCGCCACAAAGAGTATTAAAATCATATTTGACAATTTTGTTTATTGAAATGAATCGTTTGTTGATATATTTTTTTGAGTACTCTGCTTCTAAAATTTGTTACCACCCTCATTCATACAAACTTTTTGCCTCATGTGGTACAAAGAATAATCCGCTTTATTATTGGAACGTATATAAACACCACGCCGTATAATCAAGATAACAAATTACGATCCGAAATTAAACAAATATGGATAAACGACGGACATTAATTAATAATTAGTTATACCGTGTGTTAACATCGACAAATGCGACAGCGCTCAGGTGTGATGACATAAAACAACAATTATTTACAGCGCTATGTCCAAGCTTTTAAATTTATTGCTTTGTGTAATTAGAGCCTGAAATAGAATATAATCCAGGCGTATAGTTTATTATCGACTACATTGTTACAGTTTGTTGTACGAAATTTCGTTAACGGGGCTTTTATAAATGCAATGGATAGTGAATTTATAACAAAGGATCTGAAATTAAAAAAATGTCCCACAAAGTGTACCCGCAATCCCACAGTTAAAAACAGTGTTTAAAATTGGATGAATATTTTAAAAGGCAAATTCATGTGCAATAGTGACACTAAAACTAAAACACGGGCTTTTTGAAAGTAGA